GGATGAAAAGGGAAATTCATGGTCAGCACTTTGAAGCTACGCGAGAGATCGGCAAAGGCAGTAGGGCTTGTGTATCCGTAGGATCTCTCTCAATATGTATACGGTGAATGAGGAGAGAGTAGAAATGAAAATGCCGATGTTCTTATCTCGTTCTATTTTTAGTGACAAGTTAAGATAATAACAAAAGTTTTATGTGCAAAGGTTGCCGAGTAGTTAAGAACTCATTACCATGTTTTTATTCCTATAGAAGCACAGACTTCCCCAAGTGAGGATGGGCAAAGGCGTTATGTGGATTATGTCTCCTTGTGTAGATAAGACATTAATGAGGACACAGAAGATCTGCATCTAATTCCTGATTCTGTCCCCAGCTTCTTATGTGGCCTGTGGCAAATTGCTTAAATCTTATATCTCTGTTCTCCATTAACAAGATGGGTATGATGATAATTCCCTGCCTTGTTAAGGCAAATTAATTAATGCAATGCCTGCAGATATTATGCTAATGTGCTCAATAGACTATTATTTAACTATATAAAATAAGCAAGCAAGCACTTACACTGTGGTGTTCCAAGTCAAGAACGTTTTCAAACGCACCCTTGAAGGCACTCAGTCTTTTCTTTTACAGGAGGGTGTGTTCTTCGGACGAAACCTGCAGAAGTTCAGCACTGCAACCCAGAGTGCAGAAAACCTTTCTCCTACTGCACACAGGTAATTGCTCACTGCAGAATATGGTTGAGAAATTAACACCGCAAAATCTATTCAATTAGCTTCTGTATCTTAAATGCATTCCAGGGCCGAGGAAATAGTGTGTCCATGGTACCACCTCGAGGAAGTTGTGGGAATTTCAGTCTGAAAGGAAACCTTCATAAACCTGCACAAATGAGTGACGGGGTATTTATGTGTGTGGTGTTACAATTTTGGTTTTGTTCCGTGGAGGGATTTTGGAACCTCTTGGTTTAATTTTCGTTGAAAGCTATTGTACTTTCCTGTAGAAAATGGACTGTAAACCTCTGTAAGAGAGGAGGTAAAAGAGTATGTCCTCTCCTGCTCCTCCACGGACACAGAAAGCGCCCGTGAGCGTGGGGAAGCTGTAGCAGCATGATCTCACCATCCCCATGCTGCTTTCTAAAGCAAAACCTGGAAGTGACCTTTTTTGCTGAAATGTTGAGCATCTGCAGCACTTGCTGAATGTTTGAGCCGCTGCCACTTCTTTGCCTCTGAGCAAACACGAGCCTAGAGGTTACAAATGTCCCTCCCTGCAGTACCCAACTCCAGAGTAAGAGCTTCCCAAAATGCCTTATCCGTGTCAGTACTGTGATGGAGTATAAAACCCAGGACCCTTAAAGTAGCCAGGGGCAGCTGGGGTTTAGATATTTGTATTTTGAAAATAGCCTCCACAGCTCTCAGCTTCAGCTGAGTATCTGGTGGGAGGAATTACTGTTGGAAGCTATCTCACGGGCACCTGAACGTGGCTGAAAGGGTGGTCACACGAGTGCTTAGAGCCTACAGGAACATAAAAATGTTGGGTAAGCAAGAATTTATTAGCTATAAAAACTCTTGAGCCTTCACCTTTTGTCCAGAAAAGGTCAGGATCATGTCTTTCAACAAGTGGAGAATATTGTGGCAACAAAACCAATGTCAAGAGTTAAACTTTTATCACAGACACTGTAAATCAATGGCCTGTTTGGACTGTAACTGAGAGTATCAGACCCTCAGACAGGTGAAATTGTAAGAAAACTAAAAAAGCTATTTTCAAGTAGATATCCAGAAAATGGATTATCTATTTAGCAGATCACAGACTTCTGAGAAACCTCTTAAAGAACCTGCTTAGACTGATACAGGGCAATGGGTATTTGGCCATAAGAAAGCTTCATTTCAGATAGCCCTGTGAAATGCCAGAGTGGAAATACATGAGGAGGGTCTGGGTCTGCAGTGGGATTGTTCCTTTTTTGTCTCTAGAAGCCCAGCAGGATCGGTGGGAAAATGCTTATGGGTAAAAGGAGTTTGGATGGAGCCACAGATGTTCGATCCAACCGTATCCTGGGCTGCATCAAAAGAAGTGTGGCCAGCAGGTCAAGGGAGGTGATTCTGCCCCTCTACTCTGCTCTCGTGAGACCCCACCTGGAATACTGCGTTCAGCTCTGGAGTCCCCAACGCAGGAAGGACATGGAGCTGCTGGAGCTGGTCCAGAGGAGGGCCACGAAGATGATCTGAGGGCTGGAGCACCTCTACTATGAAGACAGGCTGAGAGAGTTGGGGTTTTACAGCTTGGAGAAGAGAAGGCTCCAGGGAGACCTTCTAACAGCTGTCCAGTACTTAAAGGGGGCCTACAGGAAAGCTGGAAAGGGACTTTTTACAAGGGCGTGTAGTGATAGGACAAGGGGCAATGGATTTAAACTGAAAGAGGGCAGATTTAGATTGGATATAAGAAAGAAATTTTTCACTCTGAGAGTGGTGAGGCATTGGAACAGGTTTCCCAGAGGAGTTGTGGATGCCCCATCCTGGAAGTGTTCAAGGCCAGGTTGAATGAGGCTTTGAGCAACCTGATGTAGTGGAAGGTGTCCCTGCCCATGGCAGGGGGGTTGGAACTAGATGATCTTTGAGGTCCCTTCCAACTCAAACCGTTCTGTGATTCTATAATTCTATGCCCATTATCAAGCCTGTTAGGATGAAAATGTTGCCATGTTGGGTTTCTCTGTAATTACTGACTCTTTTTCATCTAAATCCCCAAATAGATTTTGGCTTTTTGAACTGAAATGGGTTTGCAGGCACCAGTTCCTGGCTTGTTCGATTTGATGATGGTGAAGTTTCATGTGCAGGATGTACCTTGCAGTTTCTTCATAGTTTGCCTACAATTTGCACTGTTCTGTGAGAGGATGCTATTTGGTTTAATACTGAATTTCCTTTTATCACCTAGAGAGGAGTCTGCGGTTGTGAGCGAGGATATACAGAAATAATGAGATCAAATGGTTTCCTGGATTACTGCATGAAGGTACCAGGTTTAGAAGATAAGAAAGCTGATGTTAAGACCATTGCTGGAAAAAATAAACCTATCAACTCAAAAATGCATGACATTTTCAAAGGATGGTCTATTCAACCTTTTAATCCAGGTGAAAAACTTAAATATGAATGGAATAAATTGTCTTTACAACATTTCTGTAGAAGAAAGGTACAAGCTTTGTAGATCACAGTATCAGAGATTGTGTCTGGGAGCTGCAGAGCAGCCTCACAGTTTGTCACTCGCATGCCATCTTTCATTTTGTTGTGCCTGTACTGAGTAATCATAAGCTCTTCTGTTGAGAGATAGCAAAGACAGAATGAAGCAATAATATTTTGCAAAAGTATCCTCCTGTGTGATTTGGGGGCATGCTTAGAACTATTATCTGATGATGTTTCTAGAAGTAATATGTTTGGACCAGGAAAGATATTGATCACTAGCGCTTCAGAAGATTCAGATCAGAAAGTACTTAAGATTTCATTAAAGAAAACATTGGTTGTTTTTTGTCACATTTCAAAAGTATATGAAAAAGCCAGGGTAGAAAGTGTGGAGTTTAAAGTGTTGAAGTTAAGACGTTTAAAAAAAAAAACAACTCAAAAAGCAGGCAAGCTGCTGTGCGCAAGCAGTGCATCCCAAGCAGATCTTTGACTTCCACACCATAAAATGCTTCCCAGTTGGAACGGCGTACTGGATGTGCCCAGACTGATCCACAGGACTGGTGCTGTAGCTGTAATAGCTGATTGCTATTTTGACTGTTATTTTACAAGGTTGATTTATTTAAAAAAAAATTCTAAAATGGAAATAGGACTTTAAGGTTGGAGACAAAGGTGTCAGGTGCATCAAGTTTTACTGAAATGCATTTGTTTTCCCCATATTCTAAAATACTGGCAGCGCAGTCTTCCCCTCTTCTGTTACCTGAACATTGCATTTGTTTCCTATTAGTTTGTAATGAGCACCAGACTTTAGAAAACATGTAACGAAAGGTTCTGTTATAGGATTCAGGGAGCCATAATTCTGTCTGAAATACGTTATCACACTTTGAATGTTACATTTACATATTTGATTTGCAAGCAGTGGTTAACCTTTGCGTTGACAGTCTCCGAGCTAGCAGAGCTTGGTCCAAAGCCTTTTAAAGTTGGCTGGTCTTCGATCAAACCCATCGTCCAGAAGCACACGCAGTTCACCAGCAGTTTGAGTCACAGGTTTGGGGTTAATTGCCTTTTTGTCAGCATCTGTGGCCCTCTGTAGGCTGTCGTACTTAGGGGTCATCTCTTCAGCTGGTACCTTTACGGGATTAGAAAAAGGGAGAGGGGTGTAGGTGGATGCTGCAGTCTCCTCTTTTTAAATCAGCATTTGAGGCTGCAGCCCTGAAAGCTTCTGGTGGGCTTGACCTCGGTGCAGCATCTATGAGCCAGTTCTCCCCCAGGGACTACAAGACAGAAGTAAGGACTAAAGAGCTTTTACAGAACATGGTGTTATTTAATTTTAGGGTGGAAATGTTAGAGAAACAATATATGGGAAAGGAATAAACGTGCTCTGTATGTGCTAAGTGTATCACCAACCTCGTGGCATCCTGCAGGTAACTCTTCAGTCTGTATGTGCCCTTCAGACCCCAGCTTAAGGCTGGTGCTCTTCAAATCACTCCCCTTTGTCTAACTTCTTGACAAAATATGCGATTACTCCCCTTAAACAGGCTCTCAGGCTTGCTAGTCTGGGAGTTTGCAATAATTACTGCTAGCTGAGCCAGAAAACTGCTGTTGCCTACCAGTTATGCTCTTGATAGCAGGTCTATGGTGAACGCTGCCTGTGTGGATGGCATTTACTACCCTTCAGTACCATAATACTTGGCATCTGTGTAAATGTAAGGACCTATATCTGCCAGCAAAAGCACACGTGCCTTTCTCCAGTTAATTTGTGATTTCTCTTCCTGGTTACAGTTTGGAACACAAATCTTATTACAATTTAATGAGTCTGATGTTTTTGTTCTTTTCAATGCTCTGCAGGAGCACGTAGAACTGATCTTGAATCAGACTGTGTTTTTCCTTTCTTTACCACACTCTGGGAGGCCAGAGTTCAGGTACAGAAACTTCATTCAAGTTGAGAGGCAATTTAAATAGCTCTGTTTAAATTGTAGGACGGCATGGTCCAATGCCTTTGTGTTGGGGAGGGAGAGCAGAGCTGCATTCATAGCAGACATGGTGGGATGCCTTTTTGTGGCTGTGACAGTCCCTTTACAGGACTGCTAAATGTTTCTTGGCCATCTCCAGTTGAGAGTGACAAATCTCATACACACACTTCAGAAAAAAAAAACCAAAACACAACAAACCCAAACCTGACGAACGGAGTTCTTCTTACATGGGAGATAGGCTGTAAGTGTTTCGAAGAGAAGAGAAAAATCTGTGAGAGGTAACTCAGCCTTTCCACAAAGCCTGGAAGAAAAAAGAGAAATAATGGGATCTGATTAAGTATGTTTCCCTTTGAAAAAACTCGTCATTTAAACATAAAATGTAAACCAGCCTCAGCGATTGTCTCCGCTTGCGTGGCTGAGTTTGAGATGGTCTCTGTCAAACCACGCCTGGGGGCACGGCGTGGGTTTGCATTAGTGTTACCAACTCTGGATTTGCTTTCCTGCCTCCAGGAAGTGTCTCCAGCTCTGGCGATGCGGATCAGCTCAGACTACCGCTGCTTGGAAAAAATATCATTGCTACTCCCCACGAGGAAAGCTGTACAGCCAGATCAGAGCAAGAACCAGAAATATTAGTCTTTTAAAAATTATTATTGTTATTAATGCAAAGCTTGTTGTTAAGGACCTGTCCAAATAACGTGGTTTGAGACTATGAGAAGGAAACATTCCGACACGCTTGAGCCGAGACGCGTGTGTGGAGGGGCTCCTGCAAGGGTTGCGGGGTGGGTCCCCTGCCATTGCAACCCGAACAGCCCTATCCAGAGCCTTACCTTGCCTTAAAGCCAGTTACAGCTCCTGCTCCTGTGGCCCCGCTCTTGCGGAACTTTATCCCTCTTACTATTACAAAGCATATTCTTGTTTTTGTTCTGAGCCGAGTTTATTCCCATTTGTTGCCCGAGAACTTTTCAGCTCTAAGTAGCTTGTTCACTTGCGCTCGCTGGTGTTTACCCCAATTGACCCCCAAGTATTTACAGAGGACAATCCCATCCCTTCTCAGTCCGCTTTTCTTTAGGCTGAACATACCAGGTGCTACCTGCGTTTCTGTCTGGGTCAGCTTGCCATTGCAGTGCCTTGGCCAGAGCAACCACTGGGGCTCCTGGGCCAACATACTGCAATGATCTCATGCCCTGCTCCTTCCCACAGGCTGGGGTCGGGCCGGGTTGTGTTTCTTGTGCTGCACTGTAAGCCCAGACTGCCCATAATGAACTGCAGGAGCTCAGCTCAGAATGGAGGTTATGAAATAATGCTGCTTTGGAAAACTGAGACGAAGAATTAATTTTCAGTTTTCATTGAGGAAAACCTACACTCCTTACCAAAGTTAAGATTTTGTCTTTAAAACAATTGATTTTTACAGGAATCTTTTTTCTATCAGAAATGTGGAGGTTATGGATTATCCCCAACCAGTCCTTGCTGTTTCCCGTTTGCTTGTGTGTTTCCTCTTTACTTAATCTCTTAAGAATTTGTATACTTCAGAATAAAGTTTTGTATTCTCTCCTTTTCTCCTTCTGTCCTTTTTTCTCACCTTCCAACAGATGGTAAACTGAAGATGTGGGTATATGGAGTATCAGCTGGTGGATTCCTCATCATAGTTTTCCTGATTTTTACATCCTACCTGATGTGGTGAGTATGGTCTGTATTTTGTCCTTAGATGAAAGCTAGTCAGGTTTTATCCAAACAGTCGAAAATATTTCACAACGCTCTGTGGTGCAGATTTTTGATCCTCAAGGCTTTAGGTAAAGATGGTCCTTGGGTTACTTAACCGCCTTCATTTGACCTCTGCCTCAGAGTAATTTAAAATTCTCTAAATTGTGCTATCCGACATAATCATGAAGAAGTGTGGTGGCCATGCAGGGAAAGAATTATTTTTGGTTATCAATAGGCCTTTATATTTATTCAGACTTCTGCTGGGATTAGAAAGGGCTTTTTATTGTATTCTTTAAAAAAAAAAAACAAAACATAAAGTAAAACTGAAAAAGGCAAGGAGGCTGATTGGATCGAGGAGCTGGCTTCCACTCAAGGAAGGACTAAATAGAATAGGGTCATTCAGTTGGAAAATGATGTTTGACATGGGAATACAATAGAGATCTATGAAATCATGAATGGAGTAGAAAAGGGCACTAGGGAATTTTTATTTCCCACAATATAAAAAGTAGGAGGCGTCTGATGAAATGATCATTTAAAATAAACAAAAGATTTTATTTCTCACATGGTACATTATTACCTTGTGAGCTTACCGCTGCCGGGGACCGTGCATGCCAGGAAGATAAATGGATTCAAAGATGGCATAACAGTTCACGGGAGATTGGGTCTCTTGGTGTTAATTGTGGTTTTCTGGATGTTCACTCCAGCTCAGGAAATCCCTAAATAGGTTTTTGCAGCGAATACATCAGGTGGAAACACATCCTGTGTCTAAAGCTGCTGGTAGCAGCCACTGTTAGAAATAGGGCACTGGGTGTACCGAAGCCCTGGTCTACACCAGTGCAGCGCTGGTGGTGGGCTTTGCTGGCGGGGGAGATGTCTGCCCTCCTCCAAAGCAGTGGCTGCCCTGGGCAGGCGTGGTGGCCCTGGCTTGGCAGAGCTGGTGGTGTACTTTCTGGTTGGAATATTTGGAAGGGCGCTGCCATTGATGTGTCGTGGAGGATACGAAGGGAGCAGTGGATAACAACGCCCACAGTTGTCCCTGAGGACCACGGAGCTGGCCTGGGCTGTAGGAACGTTAACGGTGCCGCTGCCCCAAACCCTATCATATCAGGGTGGGCAACCGGAGAGTTGCAACCATGACCTGGCAGCATCATTGCCCGCTTTCATCCAAAGTCATTTTATTCTCTTTCACTCTCTTATTCTTTCTCTCAGTGCCTCTCTTCGATTAAAAGCTTAACTAACAGCATTTAGGATGCTGCTTAGGATTTGCAAGCTTTCCAAGCCATGCAGCTACCATTTCTCTGTGGCTTCACAGTGGAGCACACAGAGGATTTTTTAAATAACATTACATACTTCTCCATCACTCAAAGGCTGGTGAGGAAGTGTATTTCTCAATAATAATTATTGTTGTTTCAATACTGTGCCAAAGAAAAATGAGAATATCCCACTCCAAGACAGTTCATATTTCAATTTTTCTGTGAGGTGTCCCTTGTTTTGTCAGCTGTGAGAAGACACGGGAGACAAAATCTGCTTTATTTCCTCTCCAGACGAAGAGCACAGTTGGCTGCCCGTTTTCGGCAGGCGGTGTGTCCGCATCACACACAAAATAGCACTTGAGCAGATCCATGTGTTTTTTCTTGGAAGTAGTCACTGTACAGCAGTGTCACCTAGTTGCAAAACGAAATAGCCAGTGTGGGAGGTTGATTTTTTTTTTGTTGAAGTTTGGGTTTCGATGATGGTTCTGAGTTTATGACAACTTACGGTTTTGTCTCCTGAGATTTTTTTTTTATTTTTCTTGCAGCAAAAAAACAAAGCAGCATCAAAGCACTCCTCCACAGCAGAAGCCTCTAACCTTAGCCTATGATGGAGACATTGATATGTAACATAAAAAAGAAATCCAAATGTAGACATCGACTGCCTTAACTGCTTTCTTTTTTGGAACTCTCCGACTTCTCAGTTTTTTGAGGAATCTCCTGATGTGTAATATACAGGGCAGAACAGAAGTATTGCAAGCTTAAAATTTTGCCACCTCTTTATTAAAAAAAAAAAAAAAAAAAGGAGTCAAAGACTTGGATCTTGTGAAACTTTTCTGAAGAGACCAGAAAATATATCTCTTCTTGTTGGGCAATGGGAATAAAACAAAATAAGAGCATCTACAGACATCAAAAGGAATTAGTGGAAAAAAAAAGGCATGACAATCCTGAAGAAAATGTGACATTTACTGTAAATGACAAGTTTGACACAGCATCATTATGCACTATATTAGTGCAGCGTTCTTTATTCTTCACATATTTCAACAATGAGTTTTCTAGTGTTTACATTTCGTTCAAAGACTTTAAAACTGGATCATGTATTTTGAGAAACGCAAGGAAGAATGAGTTGAAGTGTCTGAAGTTATCAGGTTTTTTAAAGTTTCTTCCTTCTTATCCTGTTTTCTAGTCTGGAATATGATTTTACTTCATTTCCACCTACAGGACAGAATAAGGCTTGTTACGAAAAAGCGTAGATGGTTTCTTAGCCAAGAATATTTTTTAAAGCGTTGAGTAGATAGGCGTTTTGATGAACGGCTGAAGGATTTGATTGTTTAAAAAGTATTTTAAATTAAATTAAACCATGTAGATACATTATGGCCAGTTTAAATTGTTATTCAGTTTAATTAATACAAACTCTGCTTTTGTATTTAAATTTTCTTATCTGAAATATTTATAAATTCTTTTTTTGAATTTAATTACCTGACCTCATTTAATATACATCAAACACAAATGCAATTTGTAGAAGGTCTTGCTTTTTTAAATGTTTCAAAACCACTGAAAGGTTATGTGTCGTAAACATCTGGGAACATTGGAAGAGGGTAAGTGTTTATAATAGTGTGTGTCGCAAGTAAGAAAGTGCCATCTTGTGGTATTGACTTGTATTTATAAGCAAATAAAATGCTAAAGAGAGTGAGAAAATTGCTTCTGGTATGTTGAATTAAATGTGTGTAAACAACGTTCATTATTAGTCTTTTACTACGTCTGAGATTGGACTCAGATTTCAAACAATTCTGGCATATTTTGTGCTGTAGCGATTAGCAAAAGAAATATTGCAGACAAGTACAAGTTGGGAGAATAATTGCCAAGCTGGAGAATGCTCGGTCTTATTTTTAGCACAATGCTGCTGCTTATTCCAATAATTAGAAAGAAGAGAAAAAAAAAATTGTTCTCAGCCTAGCACCTATGCAGTCCTCGATCTGCAGCTACTTCAGAGCAGATCATCGCAAGAGAAGGATGTAACTAGGACGGAAGGCAACGCTCGTCTTGTTACGTTCCTATTCACAGCTTTGTAAAGTGGTTTCAGTGTTACGGTTTCATGGAAAAAATGATGGAGTTGTAGCCAGGTTTCCTTCCCCAGATCAGGATCCCACCCATCCAACGTTTCTCCCGCAGCATCGATTGAGATAATATTTTGTCATCGAAGCAAGGTTAGGAACACGCTTTCCTCTTCCTGCATTGAAAAAAAAAAAAAAAAAAGGGTGACGTAGTTGTGAGGGGAAATTGTCTCATTTATTCCTGGCCTGAAGATGTTCTACTGGCCCTACTTGCTACCTTAGAGCTATAACTGCTTATGGTACAAAAAGCAGGATCTGGTGTTCCCTAGTAACATTGGGGGCCTGCATCTTTTTTTAATGGTGCCCTGTACTGAACCTTTGAGTAATGTGTAGAGTAAGAGTTACAAGAGGAATAATGATCTAGTGCTATTAGGAAGACTACTGCCAGATCTTATTACGCTTTTTCTGCAGCATATGATGTGAGGAGAATGGTGCTCTCTGAATAATGAGGGAATAAACTCAATTAAGCAAGCTGTTCAGAAAGGCATTGGAGTGGGAAAGTTGGTGTAATAATAACAAAAAATGACAGCTGCAACGTGTGGTCATTGCCCTCAACAACAAGTTAAATTACAGTCCAAAGTGTGACATCTAGCGCAGGAGATGTGGGCTGTGTGGTGAGCTGCCTTGGGGAGAGAAGGAGCTCCGGGTACAACACTGCACAGTGTGTTGATGTTGAGCAGATGGAACCGGGGTTGTGCTTCAATTTGGTGACCTTCACGCAGTCTGTGTCCCCACTTGTGCTATAACACCTTCTGGCCAAAGCCCCCCAGGGTCTCCAAAGGGACTGACCATTGATTCTGCCCTGCTACTCTGCTCTTGTGAGACCCCACCTGCAGTACTGCGTTCAGCTCTGGAGTCCCCAACACAAGAAGGACGTGGAGCTATTGGAGCAGGTCCAGAGGAGGGCCACAAAGATGATCCGAGGGCTGGAACACCTCTGCTATGAAGACAGGCTGAGAGAGTTGGGGGTTTACAGCTTGGAGAAGAGAAGGCTCCAGGGAGACCTTCTAGCAGCCTCCCAGTACCTAAAGGGGGCCTAGAGGAAAGCTGGAGAGGGACTTTTTACAAGAGTGTGTAGTGATAGAACAAGGGGTAATGGCTTTAAACTGAAAGAGGGGAGATTTTGATTAGCTATAAGGAAGAAGTTATTCAGTCTTGAGGATGGTGAAGCACTGGAACAGGTTGCCCAGAGAAGTTGTAGATGCCCCATCCCTGGAAGTGTTCAAGGCCAGGTCGGATGCGGCTTTGAGCAACCTGGTGTAATGGAAGGTGTCCCTGCCCATGGCAAGGGAGTTGGAACTAGATGATCTTTAAGGTCCCTTCCAACCCTAACCATTCTATGATTCGCTGATTCTTGCTGGGGCTGGGCGCTGCCTGCAGAGGTGTTGCCGTTCAGTAATGCCCTTAGGGAATGAGGGCACCTGTTGGACTTTGTAAAATAAAAGAAAATAGAACAGAGAAGAAGGCTCATGAGGCTGCTGTTGGAGACAGCTGCTGCCGGCCGTGCACTGTGACTGCTGGTGTGCACGTGAATCCCGTCTCTGCTCGTGGTCCAGCTTGGACAGGGCAGTGATTTAAATGTCACGATGCAATTGCATGTATTTGATAATTTGGGATTGAATTAAATCGTGAAATTGAACTGAGGAGCTGGTGGCCCTGCAGGGTTCATGGGGCTGAGAATGCAGCATAATGCAATAAAAAGGAATCAGTTGTTTAGACAGATGCTGAGATTATTGCTGGTTGTAAGAGCCCTGGATAGCCTGCTGAAAGGGATGCTCAGCCTCCCCTGGGAGCACTGGACATCAATTCCTACCTTTCAGAGTCCACAGTGAGTCATGACATGGAAGAGGGATTACTCTCAATTCTTGCTTATTTGGAGGTTCTAAGCTTTATGCCGAAGTAGCTGGTGCTGATCCCTGGCAAAGACAGGAGAGAGCTTGGGCTGGTTTGGGAAGGTAATTCCTGTACCCCCAGCTGGGGCATCCCATTGAGACACGTACATCATCGTGAATAAAAAAATTTGCTGGTGCAGAGTTTGCCAAATGCCCTGACAGTCTGTCCTGGTAGTTAATAGCCAGATAATGAACGAGTCTGCATTTTGTCATCTTTTGTTTCAACACTGTTGATTTCAGTGTCACTGCTGGGTGTTTCCTACCTCAGTATTACAGCTGTAAATATGCAACCCTTTTTTTTTTTTTTTTTTTTTTGAGATCTGTCTTCTGTGGCATTTTCTCTCTTCCATTGAAAGACTCTCACACACAACAGTGAAACAAAATCGCAGCAACTGAAGTAAGAAGTCACAGAAAACAGATGGCCAAGAAGTAGTACCTAAAGGAGACCTACAAGAAAGCTGGAAAGGGGCTTTCTACAAGGACGTGCTGTGATAGGACAAGGGGTAATGGCTTTAAACTGAAAGAGGGGAGATTTAGATTGGATATGAGGAAGAAATTTTTCACTCTGAGGGTGGTGAAGCACTGGGACAGGTTGCCCAGAGAAGTTGTGGATGCCCCATTCCTGCAAGTGTTCAAGGCCAGGTTGGATGAGGCTTTGGGCAACCTGGTGTAGTGGAGGGTGTCCCTGCCCATCGCAGGGGGGTTGGAACTAGATGATCTTTGAGGTCCCTTCCAACCCAAACCATTCTGTGATTCTGTTGAAGCATTGTGTACCTACATCATTCCTGCAGTCATTTTGGTTATGCTCAGAAATTAGATATTTGCGTGCACAGGTACCACGTCTATGCATGTCATTGTGCCTAAACACTGTGAACTCCTTGGCTTTTGTATAAGGTATGTAAAATCAAATGACATTTTTCTTGCAGAAATACCTTGGAAGTCTTGGGGGGCTTTCATGTTAGTAGGGCTGGATCCCAGCTGAATTCCTCTCCTCTCCAGCATCCACACCACAAATGCCACTGAACACTTGAACTTCGGGTGCTACGGTCAAGAACAAAGACTGTAATTTTCTTCCCTCTGGAAGCAGAGAAGTGTAAAAATTCCTGCCAGACAACATAGCTAACGACTTGTAAATTAGCTTGTGCTTGTATTCATATGTGTCGAAGAGCCGCCTAATTGCGTAGTTTTCTTTGCCTAAGTGCACTTACATTCATGGCCAGTTTCAGCAAGAAATGAAGAAAATATTATCTTGGGGGAAAAAAAACCCCATCAGTTGAGCACTTCCAGTTTGTATTAGCCCTGGTAAGTATGAAGTGATCATTGAGATCAGGTCATTTGCTGCTAACATGGCATAGCTTGTTTCTTGAAAGACTTATTTTTTCTAAATATGTAACAATTTGCACTTAGGAATGGAAGGGAAAATATAGTTCCAATATAATTTGGGGGCCTGATTTCAGTTGGGAGGTAGTAATGCAGGAAAGAAATGGTCTAACAACTCGGAACCTTTTGAAAGATGGAACAGGATACCTGATGTATTAATGTGCCTTGGGACAGATTACAGTTCTGTCTGGTTTAAAATGTAATTTAAATGAATTAACTTCCACATCTTACAGCTGTGACATGCGCCTGTCCTGGACAGGAGCTTGATTTATGTTACCTTTATGAAGATGTATCTGTGCGCATACCATTAGGCGCCATCAATATGCATGTGTTACGTGATTCCCGGAGCCACGACCTGACAGGTGACTCCGTTACTGTCACTTAACTGCTGACACGACTTGTGCCACCGGCCGGGCTGTTGAGCTCTTGTGATGTGACATGACCTGACTCGTAACGCTTGCGACGGGTCACGCCTCCTGCTTCTGGCAGACGTGGAAGATAAAGTCGCGTGTAATTTCTCCTGGTCTTGCTGCATCTGCGGGGAAGGGCATCTCCCCGGGTGGTGACAGTCCCCCCCTGCCCGGCATATCTGCACGGATGGGAATCGGATGTGTTTGGGGGGTTTTACCAGTCAGGAAAGTTGTACAGTTGTGAGGTTGCCTTAAAGAAGTCTGTCTGACCCCTCGGGATAACTGGGACTACAAACATGAGTGTAAAAAATGAGGAATTCACCCAAACTACCATTCAAGAAATGGGGTTGCGCAGTCACTTCTTGTTCCTACCTGGCAGAGAGAAGTGAGAGTCTCGCCGTGGAGTCTGATAGCCCAGGACCCTG